CCAACCTCACGCCCAGCGCGACTTCCTGATCGGAGTGGAGTGTGGGCCTGGAAGTGCGAAAAGGGGTGTGCCAAGGATTTTTGGGGAAGTGGGGGAGTCTTAGGGGTATGAACGCAATTAGGYGMACGAGGGGTACGCGCGCAAGGGTCTTCACAKTCCAAAGGGGCCGGGACACTGCRGGCGACGGGTTACGGGAAAATTAGGCCGTCGGGGGCTGCCTCGTAGCTGGGTTGGGCCTTCGGAATTCCGGGGTTCTTYGCGCGCYGCTGCRTCGGCARTTTACGCAAAACGTGTTGGGCCAATAGGGGGCTATGGCCGGCCACGGAACGACACTAAGTTGATGATACGGGAGAAGGAGGCGGAAAGGAGGGAAACTGGTGGTGATCTCAACGAGCCCCGGGTGGGTGAAGTAGTAGGTGTGGTCGGGGGAAGGGAAATCGGAGCACCGAGGGTCGCTAGTGGTGGCACAGTGGAATTCYYGCGGACATAGCCGATTSTCYGTGTGACAAGGGTATCGGGTCCTTATGAGCTCRTTTATTATAGGGGTGWAATAGTCCGGGTCATAGGACGAGTCTGAACCCCAAGATCGCRTCATGGTATCATTGCCGATGGGATAGCGCGGGTCGGGATATCGTCACCGCGCACGAGCACGTGTAGGACAGGCCGACTCAGTGGCGCCTCAGCGTGCTCGTACGGGATGATGATTCCGCCGTGACTCCTTTCGGGGTGAGCGAGTCGACGCACGGGAATGCGTGTAAGGGCGCGACTCGGATCGCRTTTACACGTGTTCTCGTGCGGCGCTCGCGGGGCTGGACTTCGGATCGCCTAATTGCTTCGTAAGTCTCGATTATGCAAGATGCAATCATACCACAACCTCATCATGGGACAAGCAAAAACGAGGACGAAATCGACATCGGGGCCAGATTCTTATCCCATCTATCGCTGCATCCGGTGCAAGCAAAGATTCGACACAAACAAAAAACAAGGGCAGAGATTCTCCGCAAAAGAGATTGGCAAGCAAGCATAACATTCATGCATCCATACATTCGACAATCATACACATAATGCAATCGCAAGGACAGGTGTGAGCAAAAACCCAAGTCCAGATTCCAGAAAGCCGAAACGAAGATAAGAACGGGCAAACCGCCCGGAGCCGCAATCAAAATGTATGTACACAGATGAAGAGGGAGAAGAGACAAAGAAACAACAAATCCACGTCTAGCAACCTCAACTCTCTTCTCCTCTCTCTCTCTCTCCGATGCGGACAGTCCATCRTCACACACCATCCACGAAGTTGTCACCCAGCTTAGTCCTCCCGCACCCGTCGGATTCGCCCGTGCCCACAGTCCGTCGTGGCCTACGTCCATCCCGCGCGTTCGGCACCAGCCCATCGGGTCGCCCAACTCCGACTCTAGTCACCTCTTACTTTGCTCGTGTGCTGACCCTTCCTGATCGCGCAACCCCGAGCTTCCAACTACAGGTTTAAAGAGCTGACTAATCGCGCAGCCGAAATTTATAGCGTGCATGCATGCGCGAAGAACACGGAATTACTAGGACTTAGAGTGAGGATTAGAGAGGGAGCGCCTACGTTCTGCATGATCAGCCGCGGCATGGGGGATGTAACCCTTCTCCACGCATCGATCCGAGCATGCAAGCTGCGGCTTTCAAAAACTCAGCGAAGGAAAGAGAGGGAGGGCGGGAAAGACGAAGTGCAAGAAGAAAGATACAG